AACCCTTCAAAACTTTTGAAAGAATTTCTAACTGAACTTACCAAATATGAGCTTCTACTGCAATTGAATTGATAGAGTAGGCAACCAAAACGCGGTATTGCGAGACAAGCTATAGCATACATATTTAGCCTCATTGCGAGAGTCGTGTCGAATGCAAGTCGTTTTTCGCGAGTCGAATCGTATCGAAAATTGCAGGTCATTGCCTAAAATTACAACTCGACTAGTGTATTAAAATGGAAAAACTTGGCAGCACTGCATAGTTTTCGACGATTTTCGTCGTTTACTTATTTCAGTACGACAGTTGGCCAATGCCAATATTGTCGAGTCGTACAATTTAGCCTAACTTATGACTTACGTAATGAGGCTGATTGTGTACATATGGTAGATTATTTGACTGGCCTCGTTACATTCGTACGCAGTTTTTCTAAAATATGAAACAATTGCCTATTAAATAACAGAAAACCACCTGGGGGTTTTTAGGTGAATTGATTAGCTATGGTCAAATCAATGTTTCTGTAAAAGAAAGGTTTGAATAATTCCTTTGGTTTCAAAGTTATTGGCATTCGAATGTGCACTGGCTGCGTTACACTATTTGAAAGTTCAATAATGGGTCGTTCAGAAAGTTTGAAATGGGTGCAAGAATATCGCTAGTTTTTTAGTTTGTCATCTACAATGAATGCAGGAGGACATCTGCATACTCAGTTGTACAATTTATGCTCATATAATTAAAAGCGTACACCGTGGCAGCTGACACGTCAGTTGATACGAACGGACGGCAGGTACGGTTGCGCTGTAAATCAATCGATAGACCGTTTTTGGTCCCACTTGACAATAGGGTAGTTACAGGATATTTTACATAAGCTCTTGCATTTGCATATTCGACGTATTTCACAACAATAAAATGCACACGGTTGCCATGGTAGCAAGCATAAAATTTGCAAACGCAATTCCAACTGCAAACCCAAGACCATTTCCACAACATCCTGAACAGCCCTAAAGTGTTTTCACTCATTTGACGACAAATGCCATTAAATTTGACATAGTGAAAACCAGCCTTTAGAAAATATGTGGAGTTTATATTGCTGAGTGGCATTGAATGCGCCCTACCATTCCGGTCGCCCTTCGCAGGGGCGAAGTATACCTCCGAGTATATTTCTGCCGAATGTATTTCGGCCCTGAATTTGTTGGATTTTATATCACGGTATGTGTAAATTGAGCTTAAAGTCATTTATTGCCAATACAATTTTACATAACTAAGCGCACGATCAATGATGCCCCTTAATGCATTCCACTCCCATTTGGGGTTGCCACAACTGCCAGCCCTCACCAGTATTTACTCAAGTTTTTTGTCTTGAGTACTTTTTATGTAGATATGTATATATGAATAACTGCAAGTAATATTGCGGCTTCGTTCAGTAACAAAACCATAACATATACTTCTATGTTTATACATATGCGTGTATCTAAATATGTACATTAGTGTGCGCCTTATTTGTATGTAAACAATTTTTTTTTTTAAGCTATCAAAGCAGGACTCCCTCGCATAACGGAAAGACATGTCTCAAGAGACGCTAATTCATTAAATTTCACATAGAATAAGAAAAAGAACCTATGTACATGGGCGAATCCGAGAAATAGTCAACCAAAATCGCAAAAAATGCATGCATTTCGAATTCTCTCATTTTTTCTGTCAAAAAAAAACATAGTACAACATATTCTTATTTCATATTTCTTTCCACATTTATTTGAGACATCTGGTTTGCCCCTCCTACTTCTTGAAACAAAGCTCTAAATAGCATTGGCTTCAATCACTATATCTTTTAATAAAATACAACAATATCGCTTTAAATAAAACAATTTTCTCAACGGAAAAAAGAGTAACGTCCGTAACGTAACGTCCCGAACGCACATATACAATTGTTTTAAAGTTAATCCAACCTTTGCAAACTTTTTATCACATTTTGTAAACTTCATTATTTTCTCTTCAAAGTATTTTTGTAGATTGTGCTCTCCATGCATTACAATTTGCGCAAATCGGTTGACTATCGAAAGTCATATCAAAATCGCCTCCCTTTTCAGTAAGGTCCGAAAATAAATTTCGAAGGCAAATACACCGATATTAACTTAAATTCAAATTTCCATTATTTTGTTCTCATAAGTACTGCTATAAACCTTCAAACTTCTTACTTATAATATTTTTGTTGGTAAAAATGTTTAAAGAAACGTCCGAACGTAACGTCCGCAACGCTAGGATTTGCCAATATATATTTCAGTAAAAAGAGCTTACTTGTTTCATATCAGCCAATAGATTTTAATTTCTCGTCATGCTTCGCAGTTATAGAGCTTTTATGGGGTAACTTTGGGGCTCCTGAGGTACGTCTTTCCATTATGCGATTTTTAGCAGAGCACATTTCTATGACCAAATGAACCTATCGAGCGGGAGTCTTGCTTTCTAAATCAAATTTGAAAAATAAGCCGCATCCTAATATACGTATGTATGTATATGAATATCGGCCGCTGAAGTTGAGAGTGAGTGAGACCTGGGTGCGCTTATCACACACAGCGTTTCTTGTTGCGCCTGTGTTCTATGAAATCTTATCTCCAATGCGCGCGTACTGCGATAAGAACTTCATAAAAAGCTGACGAAGCGATGTAGCAATTTTTATAAATTTTAATGCCAGAAGTGCTATTTGCGGCGAGCTGTACGTACAAATATCTATTTTTACATGTGTAATTAAATTGAATAGATACTTAAATCCAACAGAAACTAATGTTGCGATATAAGAATAGTGTGAAACTCTTAGAAGCAATTTCGCATAATGAAAAGCGCAATAAATCACTGGTGTTTGTGTTGCGTTTAAATAAATAAATAAATAAGTGTACTTTTTATATCTACAACAGTAATGAATCGTTTATATGTAGTTACTAATTTTACGTAAATACATACTTACATACATACACATACAGCACTTGCTACAAATCCATACACGCGTTGTCACGGTGAAAGATAAACAAATCAGTAATTGCACTTATGATGAAACTAACCAAAATGCAATTTAAATCAAACATGTGTATATAAAACATATCATCTCGTAGAATAATGCAAAAAATTAAAAAATTAAATGTGGCTTTAAAAAATAAGTAGAAAATGGTTCTGGGTAATTCTAGTGTTTTTGCATTTCATGTCATGAAAAAGTAGTTTATATGTGCGTGATTTTCTGGAGTGTTTAAATAAATAAAACGACACTCCCTGCCGGAAATTTATTACAAACTAACAAATGCCGAATAAATCAAAAAGTCATAGCTGTTCGTACAAGAATATCACAGAAATCTACATATATCTTCAATGGTTCACTCGTAATCGAAAGCATATTCCGGTGTGTCTGCTTGCATTTCCATGCGTCATACCTTTGCTTTGAATATTGTACCTATGTATATGGCGCGAAACGGCTTGGTACGCCAAACCTTTTTTTAATGAAGGTAGAAGAGAAGTAGTGGTTTTTTTCAAGTCCCAATTCTGTTATTTAAAAAAAGCATTCCTACTTAAAAAAAATCGTCGAAAATGGTATAAGAGCGGTAGTTAAAGGATCACTTTAATCCACTATTAGTAAGATGTTGCAAGGGACAATGGATCAGCCGAAGACGGAAACCACTACTATTTACAAATAGTAGCAGAAGACAGCAGTTGAAGCTTACATCTCCCGGGAGAACTTTCACACCATATTAAATTAGGCTGGTGGTTATGGCGACCACCACCGAAGCTGAGTGGTTAGAGGTGCGTACTTCTTCTCCGTACTACTCAGATTCCGTTTCTGCTGTGAGCAACATCAAAAACGATTTTTTTTTTTAACGGTCGCCCCCGGTAGGTCGCGGAGATCTCTTCCTGGCTGTTAAGCGGAACTTCTGATATGTTTCCTCATCATCATCCTCTAAGCTTCTCAACGCGTGAACATCCACCGGACAGCGTCCTGTCAATACCAGAATTAAGAATGGCGACTTTGTGAACCCAAGAAAATCCGATAGCTGGTCGCGGTTCTCGTTCGGCTAGTGTGGAATTTCAGTTGCACTTGTTCGGTCGCGAAACTAATTCGAGCTTGCCTTCCCCCAGTATCACTATGGCCTGATATCCATATAAGCCTGACTGGAAAGTATGTAATCAGCTGCCACTGAATGCGAGTGCAGGTATTCCCCTGCTGGGCTTGAGCGCCTTACCTACGATGTTGACGGGCGCTATGCTAAGCGAACTTCTTTGACAGAGTGGGATTGAGCCCAAGAGTAAAGCTGTACCCGCTTTAGCTTTCTAAACAGCGTATCTCTCTAGCCACCTGTTGTGGAGAACACAAAATACATTACGGGCTACTTTGCCAATTATCCTCCTGCTGCGGTAGAAACTCACTGATGTCTTGTTCACTTTCTACTCAATATTAGGTTTCCACGACAGCTTCCCATATAGAATCCATACCAAGTATTTGATCCTGTCAGTAAGATGAGTTCCGTCTTTCGAGGATTAACAGCGATTCCACCTCTTGCAGGCCACTTTGTCACCAGGTCAAAGTAGATACGCTTTGCTCAACTCATAGAGAGTATCCACAAATTTACTCACCATCTCCTCTAGCAATTCGTTTGCGGTCATAATTTAAAGAATGGGCGAGAGACCACCACCCTTTGGGGGGCCCTCTTTCTCCCACTCTGAGGGCACTACCCCACTCCGCCGCCATAGTTATGTCGCAGAGCATACCATATGCCTAATTTTTTTCACCCCACGCTTACCTCCGGATCTGCAGTTTAGTTTAGTTAATTAAAATTCATAAGCATATAAACTACTTTTGCCTAAACAAAGTTATTGGATTACATACACATAAATAACCTACAAATTCATGAACTTCATTGTATAATACTCAACCCGGGAAAGGTGGCTTTGATAATAACAAATGTACCTCTATCAATGAAATCGGAGCAGATTTTTCCTAAATCATATCTAAAATTTCTTCCACAAACAGATTTGATTCAGTAGTACGTTCCACAAGAAGCAACCAGCAGAGATCGAATATCTCCTCGACATATCGTTATGCCGCTATTTACGAAAAAGGGTCCGAAATTCGGTAGAACAGATTCTGAACTTGCCGCTAACTCTTCTTCCACCGCCGCTGGCACCAACACGTACAACGACCACAACAACACATCGGCTAACGGCAAAACCAACACAATGAATGGTACCAACGCGAATTCCCGCATAGACCCATACATTCCCAAGCCTCAACTGATATTTCACTGTCAACTGGCGCACGGCAGCCCCACGGGCTTGATAACCGGCTTTGCGAGCGTACGAGAACTCTACAAGAAAATCGCCGAGTGTTATGATATACCCGTGGAAGAGATACTTTTCTGCACCCTGAATTCACACAAAGTAGATATGACAAAATTGCTGGGCGGCCAAATCGGCCTGGACGATTTTATATTCGCTCATCGAAAGGGGCGACCGAAGGAGATTGAGATTATCAAATCGGAAGATGCGCTCGGCCTTACAATAACGGATAATGGCGCAGGCTATGCATTCATCAAACGCATCAAAGAAGGTTCGGTAATTGACCGCATCGAACACATCGGCGTCGGCGATCACATCGAGAAATTGAATGAGGTAACCATGGTGGGAAAACGACATTACGAGGTGGCGCGACTGCTGAAGGATATACCCACGGGCACAACATTTACGTTGCGTTTGGTGGAACCGATGAAGAGTGGATTTCAAGGTATTGGACCGCGCACACAGTCGAGAGCGCCATCTGGTCGTGGCTACGGCAGCGGCAAGGAAACATTGCGGTTTAAGGCGAACGGCAATGTGGAGATCGAGGACAAGTTTGACGAATCTACGCAATCGGGCATTGAGGCGATCAATAATTTGCTGGAATCGTTTATGGGCATAAATGACACAGAGTTGGCGACGCAAATATGGGATCTGGGCGCAAACAAATCCAATTCAATGGACTTTGCGGAGGCTATCGATAATTCCGATTTGGAGTCGTTCGGCTTCACCGATGATTTTATTATCGAACTGTGGGGTGCTATAACGGATGCTAGACGTCGAAAGACGGCAAAGAATTAAAAATGAATTGTCCAAAAGTAGTAAGAGAGGGAATGGGGTGGAAGAAAAGTGAATCAATAGGATCAAATGTAATAAATATGAAAGAACTAGATATGGAAAATTATTTGCGAAATAGTGTTGTTTGTTAATATGAAAATTAAAGTATTGTTTTCACTACTTAGGAAAATGTGGGTGGCATATCAATGTATTTATTTAAAAAAAACTATACTAAATGCGCATTTTGTTAGTTATACATACATACGTAGTAAATGTACTCCTATTGATATTGTTTAATGTTAATTATATTAAAAATATAATAACATTCGTGAATTCAAGAAAATCAAATTTGTACGTAAATAAGTTGTTTCTGCCAATTTATATACATATACATATACTGCATGCATATAAATATAAATATACAATATTTATTCGTTTATTCATTTAATTATACCAGATAATTAAAATGTTTTAGAATTTAAAAGCGTATATTTACAGCTAGAAGTGAAGAGGAAGCAATGTTTAAACGGAACATGTAAAAATACAAATAAAACCCCAAATGCAATACATATTTACACTCAAACCTCTACTTATTCATTATTTATCGAAAATTGTATTATTATGGTAAGTTTTCGTTTCTGCTTTTGTTTTGTGTTTTTTTTTCTTTTAAAATGCCCAATTCTATTAGCAGGTTTTCATTATTTCTTTTCTTCTTTTCATTTCTTTCAAAAAATGCCCTTCCCCGGCGCAAAATGTGTTTGATGTTACTTGTCTTGTGTCTTGTAGTTGTCTAGCTCAGGGGCTCCCAAACTTTTAAGATGATGAAACCCTTACCAAATACTTTTCATTTTATAGGACCCCACATCAAATAATTAAAAATCGAAGGCAGTTTAATTTAAATATGAATAAAAACTTTTACTAGAAATAGTATAAATATTTTAAATTTTAATATGAAGAATGTCATTAATTATTGCTTTATCAGGGTTTCCAAGCTTTATTTTAACGATCATGCTTATTTGGCTTATTTCAATGTATAATAGTCAATTACGGACCTTTTCAAGGAAACGGGAAAGAAACAAATTGCTATTATTTCGTGTGTGTTAGAATCGTAGCGTCCAAGGAGTTTTGACATCTGATATTTTACAGCCTGCTGTCGCAGTTTTTCAATCCGAAATAATGGCAATTTCTGTTAAAAACAAGGGGGCGTTGTACTCTTCACAAGCAAATTTAAGCAAGCCATAGTAGATTTATAAATTTTTGCTTGACAATTTCTTAGGGTTTTTTTTTTTAGAAATGTTTACAAATAATAAGATAAAAACAGATTTGATTTTTTTTAATTCGTAACTTCAATTGCATTTCTGCTTGGATACAAAAATTTAGAACCAATGGTTTGTCTCTACGGGAAAGCATTGGTGTTACTTATTGAAGAGATTAAAAACAATTTGTCTCAAATGGAGATTAACGAATATTTAAAAAACTAAAACGACCAGGGTAGATCTCTCTTATTTGAGAACATCAAGCAACACTGGATTTTTTACAATATATGCAACAATTTTTATTGTATATTTTTCCGACAATTTTATATAAAAAATATGGTTCATTCCACAACAAAAAATATAAAAATATAATTTCTAAACTTTGTGCAAAACTCGCGTAAATTCAGCAAATTTTCAGACAAATTTTCAATCAATTTTTAATCAGATTTTTAGAATTTTTTGGAGTATGCAGATTTGTAGCCCAATTTCATTGTTATAAAGTTCTAAGTAGCTACGAATTACCGTTGATTTTTGGCAATTTTTTTCACCCGCAGTCCCTTCCATACAAAAAAGTTTTTCGAAAATACTTTATATGGAAAAAATACCGTCAACAAAAAAATTCTTAAAAATCTATGCGATATTTGACTCACTCAGAACTCGCATTTTTTATACTAGAATTAAATGGGTTTCTAAAAAATCTGATTAAAAAGTTGAAATTTTGCATGAAAATTTGCTGAATTTTCGCAAGTTTTGCACAAAGTTTAGAAATTATATTTTAATGTTTTTGTTGTGAAATTAACCATATTGCGTCTCGGTCCATGATATTTATAGAACTTTTCTTGGTGAGCAACCGACTGCCGACCGCCGTGCTTATTCGTACCAAAATTCATTTAACGGAACCCCGGTGACTTTTCTACGGAACCCTTAGCTTCCGCGGAACCCACTTTAGGAAGCTCTGGTCTAGCTCACGTATTTCATAATATTGTCATTTTAAGTAACCATCGGGCAAGGCGATTACTAGCTCAGCTGATTTTGTGTATGTGTTTCGCCGCACGGCTTCTGATATCAAATTGAAAAATTTTGTTTGAATTTCTACTCACACTCTTACAGATTTTGACAGTTTATGCCGCCAAAATAAAAACAAAATACATGTAAATTTTTGTTTTTGTACTCCTGCTATCACCTTATATTAATTCGCCTTGCCATCGGGTTTTCAGGGCAACCTTCTCCCCTGACAAAGCTTGAAAAGGCAGAGAATGTGCCTTTCTTGCCTGACAAGAGTGTGACATTTTATGAAACAAACACAAAATTTTCTCATCGTTTGCCTTTATTATAGAAAAAAGGCAACATTTTGTGGTAGAAACGAAAACACCATTAGTTTCTTTTTAATTTTTAACTACATAGTATTTGGCGCGATTCATAATTGCCTCGCTTTTTTGGTGCCTGGCCAAATGTCCCGCGAAATTTCCTTACGTAGGCGTTGGCATGGCCGGGCATTTCCTCGCCAAGTTCAGTTCATTGATGCGCTTTTGCGAAAAGCTTGCAAGTAAGAAGTTATGTACATACAATATTTTCGCGTGACTAATTTGTGTTAAATTTATGCGATGAATGGCGCAAATATGAAACTTAGCTTCTCGGACTTGTTTTTGTTTCTTGTGTTTTTTCCTCGTCAGACAAATTTGCAGTGTAGTCGAAATGGTGCGAAACGTCATGGCGGTTTCCATCGGATTTTTCGCTAGACAAGATCGCACACAATATCTCTACGTACATACATATGTATTGCATACATCTGTATTCGCAAGGTTACCCACTAGACTTTCGACAACTAAAAAATATTGTTGTGATCTAGATTTTTCTGAAATTCCACCAGAATGTCGCTTAGAAACATATGTATGTATGCATATGTCCTGTAAATTAAGGTGTTTAATTTTCCAAAAAAAAAAAAGATAATTGTATTTTAAGGGCTTCAAGTAAAATCAGAAGGAATATATTTCATTATTTCTGTTGCTTGTAAAAGTACTTTGCAGTTGATTTTAAATTTCGTGCTGCGCATACAGTTACAGTTGCACTGCTATACTCAATCACGTCTCTTTGCGTCCTCGTTCGCGCACTCTGGGCAACATGAGCAATCCATGTGCGAAATGCGGTAACCAATCCGAGTGGAGCCTTGGGTCACGACAGAAAGAGAGGGAGCTTCGGTGGGGCCACTCCGACTTATTCGGTTTAAGGGCTCACTGAAGTCTGCAGCGTCTGTTCACCAGTAGGTGCCGCTGCAAGCGGGTGTCTGTCTTGGAGCAAGCGGCTCTCTATATAAACGTGTATTTGGTTGCGAAACCACCCCATCCCCAGCTGGGTTTGGGATCCGCCACGTAAAAACCCCTTCCAGTGAAGAAGCGAAACGCAATAAGAAGAGAGAGGCCGAAATACGTGCGTGCGAAGAGCTTGAAATGCTGGCCGACAGGAAGAATGCCCGAAAATTTTACCAGAGAGCTAGGCGACTTACGGAAGGTTTCAAGACCAGGGCGTACTCCTGTAAGAACAACAATGGCGACCTAGTTAACGATGTTCAGAACATACTTAAATTATGGAGGGATCACTTTTCCACGCTACTGAATGGTAGCAGCACGGAAATTTGTGGGGAAGAAGAACTCGAGCCCCCAATCGATGATGACGGAGTCGATGTTCCTCCGCCTGACCATGACGAGGTACGAATAGCAATAACGCGGCTGAAAACAAAGCTGCTGGAGCTGACAGCCTGCCATCTGAGCTATTCAAGTGGGGCGGCGAGGAGCTGATGAGGTGCATGCCATCAACTCTTGTGTATGCCCAATCCACAAGAAAGTGGGCCCCGCCATTCGTGCCAACTACCGCGGGATCAGCCTTCTATTTGTCGACTTTAAAGCCGCTTTCGACAGCACTAAAAGGAGTTGCCTATACCCCGCCGCTATGTCTGAATTTGGCATCCCCGCCAAACTGATGCAGCTGTGTAAAATGACGTTGAGCAATACCACCAGCTCCGTCAGAACTGGGAAAGACCTCTCCGAGCCGTTCGCCCCCAAAAGGGGTTTTCTTGCAGGGCGACTCCCTTTCATGTGACTTCTTTAATCTGATATTGGAGAAGATAAAAAGAGCTGCAGAACTGAACCACTGAGGAACAATTTACTACAAGAGCATGCAATTGCTGGCTTATGCCGATGACATCGACATCATCGGTAACAAAAACCGCGAAGTCTGTTCTGCCTTTTCCCAAGATGGATAAGGAAGCAAAGCGAATGGGTCTGATGGTAAACGAGGACAAGAGGAAGTATCTCCTGTCAGCACACAAACAGTCAGAGCATACGCGTCTTG